TCGGCTGTTATCTGTAATTTTTTATACATTGATGTTTTTGAGCCCTTTATAAAATAATGCACTAAAGGCAGTCTTCTGTCTATAACTATAAATATCAGTGTATTATGATACTCTTGTGTTCTCAACAATAGGAAAGCATTCAATAAATATGTGTTTGAGCAAATTTTTGGAAAATATAAACCCTATTGAAAGTGTTCGGGTTGAGAAGCTGTAAGTACATCAGCCCCCACCCTTAGAGTGTCCCCACCAACTTTTATTGCAAATTTACACCCTGATTTTATAAGGTCCAAATTTCTGTACTTTTGATTTCAAAGGAAACAGATGTGCATTTCTCCAATATCCCCCTTGGTGTAATGCACATCTGTTTCCTTTGAAGTCAAAAGTACAGAAATTTGGGCCCTATAAAATGTAAAACTTTAAAATTTATGTTCTAAGCACCGAATATTGAAGAAATTGTTAGTTATGGCGAGGGAGGGGTTATCATTTAAGAGAAGGACATTTTAAAGTACAAAGCATTCATAGCATAAACAAGTTTTTGCTGATCAGTGTGTGGAGTGGATCTATATAATAAATGAGGCTCAGATGGCACAAATGTTGATGAATGTATAAATGGTTAAAGAGTAGCTCATCAGAATTAGGAGTTTCTGATTATCCTGGAAATACTCAAAGGTTTAACTGGTGCAGAGAGACGTAAAGGATGCATTGTAAGGTGAACGAGAGGGAAAACGTTTCTGATCGCCTATGGGCTTCTTTTAGAAATGGCATAAAATTGGTGTTTTCTATTTCTATTTCTATTTTTTTTTATATTTATTTTTTAACATAAATAAAAAATAGGAGTCTAAAAAACGTTCTGATAATCATTGATGATCATCATACAGTTATGAGACGTGCTTTTGTCATGGTTTTGCTAAGGAACTCTCCAACAAAGTCCATTTTTGTTTCCACTTAGTGAATCACGAGGCAGGGAGGCATGCATTGCTTTAAATGTATTTCTTCAGGACCTCCTGGATGAGGTGTCTACACAATCATCCAGTATTTTTTATCTTTTTGTCAGCTAATCTTTCCTGGGAGGGCTGTTTATCACTTTGTGCAATAAATCAATAGAAGATATATTTTAATTGATGAAATAAATAAAAGTTTTATGACATTTTAATGCATGGAGATATATCTGTGGAATCTGCAATGATAAATAAGCATAGGCTCCTTTAGTTAGCAGAAAAGTCTAGAATGATTGTCAGATATAAAGACAGTGAGAATTCATCTATTCCATCTAAGGTCATCTGATCTTACAAGCAGCCTCTATCCTGATGCAACAGAGGAACTAATTGGAGTAGACTAGCGGGATTGTATAGATTTTGTAGAATACAGCAAGAATTTTAAGGGTGTTAAATGTCATACTGAGATACAAATATAATGGAGAGTTTTGTATGACCTTAAGCATAATGCATGTTCATGATGACTTTTACAATTCCTGATAGAAATGGAGGAAAATTGCTACGTTTCAAATTCTACATTTTTAACACTTTCATAAAGGACATTAAAGTGATGTGACCTTTACTCAGGATGCAACACTGCTGATCTCATCTTGGAGTAAATCACACCGTCATCAACCAAATAGGAAATAACCTATTGATTTTTTTTTAAACATTTCTACAGTGCCCTTAGAGCAACCTATTCTGATTAAAGCAAATCACCCTGCATGATCTCCTCCATCCTCTCATTTCCACAAACATTATCTACAGTAGATAGCACAAGTAGCAGTAGCGCAAGTAACACCCGCTGTCAACAGGGTTGAAGGGATCTGAGAGGTCTGCATTTAGATGACTAGACAATTGTTTCCCAACCCTGGTCTAGGGTCCTCTGGGACCCCTATCCTGCATGTTTTAGGTATTTCCTTGTTGAATCACAACAACAAAGACTGGATGATTAACAGGCTTCTGCAGAACTTGATTGCAGAGGAGAATCCCTAATTTGATTCAGGTATGTGGAACACAGACATAAAACATGCAGGGCAGGATTCCCTGAAGAGCAGGGTTGGGAACCACTGCTCTAGACGTATGTTCTAAGAATCTTTGCAATTATGAATTTCATTAGAAACTCAAATAACTGGTTCATTAAGAGCCTGATTCAAACCTACAGTAAACTGCGACCTTTGACAGAAGAAATAACAGCATTTTTATGAAAATAAATAAGTAAAACTAGCTACAGTACAATTGGATTTAACTCAGATGTTGTAAATTAAGGGAAACCAGGGGGCAGAAAAGCACTAAGGTTGATCGATTTCTCTAACAAACACTGGTTTACAAGTATTTCAGTTAGACAGTCCTTGCACTAATCATTCCTCCATGGAATACATGTTACTTTCTTTATGCCAATAAAACTTCACATTTTCAGAGAAAGTGTGACAGCAATAATAAAGGCCTCAGTGTAGATAATGGGAGAAAAAGGAATAGGAGGAGGAGAGCAGGCCCATACCAACCTGCTTTCACTGCCTTGCTCCTTCTTCTCTCTGACCTTCAGCCACCTCCTCAAAAGAAAACGTCTGCGGCGTGGAGAAGCACTGGGAGTAGAACAGCTTGACCAGGAAGATGGGGCATCTTCATCGCTGGAGGGAGTGATTTCAATTGAAGGCAACTGGAGGTACTCCTTGGAGCTGGATCGGGATCTGGCTGTGAGCTGAACATTGGTCAGCCGGGCTCTTGGGTTCTCCCTCTCACTTGGCACATTCCTCATGCGACGCATTTTGAAGCGCTTGCGGCGGAGAGTTGGGGTCGAGGAGCTGGATCGCACAGAACCGTCTGACACAGCATTGTTTCCTCCATCAGAGTAAGCCGGGGCATCTTTTGGGACACTCACCTGGAGTGACGGAGGTCGCAGAGTGTCACTCATGGCTCCAAGTCTTCTAAAACTCAAAAAGCCAAAAACAAAATTCTCTGGATTGTTTAGTTTTGTAGCTTAAAGTCTGATTTTGGTTCTAACATCACTCTTGATATTTTAGGTCCTTTATAAGTGCTACCCAGGGATTATAAAACAGGTCCAGATATCTTATGCCTAACAAAGTCCTCTTCTTGCTCTGAGCTGCTGAATATGTATCAGCTTGGCGTCTGGTTGACAGTCTGTGAAGAACAGTCTTGTTGCAATAAACTCAGGCTGAGAAGAAGAGGGCTAGATTAGATAACAAAAGAGGCTTCTGTTCTGAGAGCAGCGGATGAAACATGCATAAGGCCTGACAGGGACTGTAACACAACTCCCTTGCTGGTCCTCCCAGGGGACTGTCAGGCAGCTATGCTGCTGTCCAAGGCGTCGGAGGAGCAGGTACCTTAGCTGCTGCTGTTCATGTTAAAGGGAAAGGCACCAGATGTCAGCCCTTAGGTGCAGAATTTGGCATTGTTCTCACTTGGTTCTTATTTTGGCATCCCTGAGGGAGAGGAGCACACAGTAGGTCTCACTTGTGGTTGTTGTAGTTGTTGAGGTCCGTGTCCTGTGCACCAGCTTGTTGCCGTTTCCACCAAGTTACTTCCTGAGGGTTAGAGGGAGGGGATGGGGCTTTAAGGTACAGGTAGGGCTCTGGGTGAAAGATTAAAACAGCCTCACACAAACACACACACCATATACAAACAATTAGAAAGACAGATAATGGGACAGAACATTATCTACAGGAACACACACAAACACAAGCAGAAACCAAGATAACAAGCCACAGTTAATAGCTGCTATTCTAAACATACACACATACACACCCGCCACCACCGTGCACCAGCTTAAGTTTATTCCATTTTCCTAACACCCTTTATTCCAAACATCATTCCTGAAAGACCTTACATTTTTGCCAGGGAGTATGAATGAATCAGAGATACTTGCTGACACATATGGACTTTTGTGCACATTAGATATGGAACAGGGGGATAACAGATTTATACAGTCTTTTAACCCTATCAGCATACTTACTACTTTTTTTAATACAGGTGGAAATGATTTAGAGTTTTTGCTTCACATTTTCAGTTTCCTTTTATTCTCTCTAAGCTGTCAGATACTAAACATCAATAATAAATGACCCAGTATTAAAAATATAGTGTTGCTGCACACAGCATTACGGGTTCTGTGCCACACGTCAGTAAATCATACATAAAAGAATATGTTGATGCTTAAATACAGAAATGCATAAATATTCATAGTTTGTTTATAAAATTCACTTTTATGGAAAAATAAGAAACTAGTCTTTTTTTCCCAGTAATGTATAATTTTAGCTAAGAGATGGATAAATAAAATTACTACCTCTTAGAATTCTGTAAAAATCTTACACCATCAGGGGTTGACGTTAAGGATTTTTACCACTTGCCCTTAAGGCAAGTGACTTTCACATTTCATTTGCCCAGAAACTATTTTTACTTGTATAATGTTTGATATAGTTCCTAATATTCATTTTTGTATATATAACAATGAAACATGTTTGTTTTTTAAATGTTTTTTATAATTCAGTATTTTTTAAGTTTACAGGTTCCTGGTGTGTATATGCATGCGTCAGATAATGAACTCAAGCCTACATCACCGTGTCATCATGCTTTTCAACACTTCCTGCACATTCTTTTCAAACTAAACTTTGCTTTAAACTGTTGTGTGCTTGGAAAAATATAAATTGTAATGTTAAAAATCTAAAAAAAACTTGACAGGTTAAAAACTTAAGATAAATCACAAGACAAAAGTCAATGTCACAAATGAATAACTTTTATTTTAGAGTCACGGTATGTTTATACAAGATAATACTATTAATATAAAGTGACTTTTCTAGATAATCATTATACATAGTTATTTTATACAGGGTTTCCACAGTCTTACATAATTTCAGAATTCCCTGACTTTTAACTGACTCAGGATTAGTTTTCCCTGACAAAATAAATGCAGCCGTTTGTCGTGTTGGTAACTACATCAAAATTACCGCTGGATGGACAAAAATCACGCCATCTGGCGGAAAATCACCCAGCTTTTTCTAATCACGCGCCTTCTTCAAATCACACGAGAATGTGTACAAAACAACAAAAATAGCGCTGGCAACGCTTTCTGGGTCCTTTTCATCGAAAGTCAGTGATTTTAAAGTAATTTTGAGAGATAAATATTTTTTTTTTTTACGATCATTGCACTTGCCCGGCGGGCAAATGCAATGAAATTTGTACTCTCTCAACAATAAAAACTACTTGCCCTGGGAGATCGGGCTATGGTTAACACCTAGCCCTGACTATATTAAAAGAAGGTTGAGCGAAGGGAAAAACCATTGCAGAAAGATGTGTGGAAAATCCTTTTTACAAATTTACAGGGGTTTCACAAGGAGTGAGCAAAGATTGGAGTCAACTCAAATACCCCATTTACACTACCCTTGAAAAACCGATCCATGCCGGGCTCGGATCAGTTAACCAGGCCTAGCTCAGTTCTGACGACCGTTTACAGATCACGCTATCTTGGTTCCTTGACTCCTCGCCTCCTAGTGACGATCTTAGAGCAAGAAGAGGACTTTGTTAGTCGTAAGATATCTGGACCTGTTTTATAATCCCTGGGTAGCGCTTAGAAAGGACCTAAAATATCAAGAGTGATGTTAGGATCAAAATCAGACTTAAAGCTACAAAACTAAACAATCCAGATCTCTGAAAGAGAATTTTGTTTTGGGCTGTTTGAGTTTTAGAAGACTTGGAGCAATGAGCGACACTCTGAGACCTGCGTCACTCCAGGTGAGTGTCCCAAAAGTTGTTTGCCAACCACCATAAAACACAAGAAGAAGAAGACGAAGAAGGAGGGAATCAAGCAGATCAAAATGGCGGTGCCCGTCACATTCAGAAAGTTATGCTTGATAATTATTGCTGTACTTCGGTGGTATTGTTTAAAATGCCATTATTTAAATATGTTGCATGGAGAAGATTTCGATTGTTGTTTATAGTTGAAGAAGAAGTTGTTGTTCTTCTTCTGTTTCTGGAGGGGCATTACCGCCAACTACTGGAATGGAGTGTGAATCGGGATGTGCAGCCAGACGGAGATGACGCGTTCTGCTCATGCGCTCTTGTTACAAGCCCATCTCTGGAACTAGTCTACAGTTAGCTCGGTTCGGTTGTGTCTAGCTCGGTTCAGTTCAGTATGCTTTCCATTTACACACGATAAGCTATCTCAGTTACTGAGCTCGGAGCGGTCTCGGCACAGTTTTTCAAGGGTAGTGTAAATGGGGTGAAAGAGAATCCACACAGTGGCCACGTGTCACATTTATTGTGTCAAACCACCCCTGAACCAGAGATGACATTAGAATAGTCTGTAGTGGTGCACAGAATTCCAAAGGTCACATTTCCAATTAAAGTGAAGCTGTATGTCTCTTGAAAATCAAAGACCCAAATGATCAAGGCAGGAGAGGCACACAATCTCTGTAGTTAGAAGAACAGTTTGAAGTTTACAGACTGAGTAAACTGTACATATCCAGTAGATGGCGGGACTTTAAGCTGTCATGTTATCTACTGGAGCTGTTCCTGTGTTTTTTCTGATGCCTACAGTCAACACAGCCATCTTCTGGGAAAATTAAAACACTTTATCCTTCCTTCTGCTGAGAAGCTTTATGGAGATGCTGGTTTAGATATGTTATGTTTTTCTGTAGAACTTCACACTTTCCCACACTGCAAAAAATACAGAAGCTTGCTCCATAACATTAATGTTACTCTACCTACAATGACCAAGCCTGAACAATTGTGAATCTGTGTGTTACTGTCAAGAGGAAGTTCAGAGACATCGGACCCAACAATTTTTATTACCTGAAGGCAATGAAACCTTAGCTTCCATTACACCTTAGCAGAGCCACATGCTGCTCGCCTCCATGCCTTTGATGCAATGATTCATGCAAAAGATGGCCAAACCACGAGTTGAATGTACAGATACTTTTTAGAAGACCAAACATTTTTTAAACATCCTTTTATACTGGCTGAACAAATTCATTCAATTTTGAGGTTTCAGACATGTCAGTGAACGGCAGAGGATACACACAATGACTAAATAACATTGTGTCTACTGCAAAGTTATAAGATAAATACTTTTACCGCTTACTGCCCAGTAAGTGTTTATGTACATCAATGTCTTTTTCAAAGTTCGATATGCCCTTTGAACAATTTTCCCCTGCTTTATACATTTATGTTTTCATTTGCACTGTTGTGCTGCTGTTTTTAAGCCATTTATTATTGATAACAGATTATTTATCTTTTGTGAGATGTTTTTTTTCTGTCCTGTAAAGTCTAATTTAAACTTTTTTTAAGTTTCAGTTAATTTTGTCTGTACTTCAATGCTTTCATTGCCAATTTGCCTCACCAGTAAAACCTAATTTTCCCCATTGTTGGACACTGAAGGGTATTTCTATTCTATTGTATTCTATTATCTGTAAGCTTTGGCAACAAATATGGCATGACCATAATTCACTGCGTGTAATCTGCCTTTAAATGAGTATTACTTTATCAGAAAATGACAAAAGTATTTAACTTATGTAGTTTTTTTAAGATGCACTAGTAGAAACAAAGTGATGTGTAGGAAGTACATCACTGTGTTGAAAAACATGAAGGCTCTTAGACTTAATTTAGTTTTAGTTTGTTGTAATACTTTACATTTTAAAACAGGCTATGATTAATAATGAGCTTAAATGTAATTGGATATGAACTTTAACTATGGGACCTATTAAGTATGTTAAGCTCCTATTTAACAGTTGCTTTGTGTTTCCTTAAGCTGTAATTCTGCACGGTGTTCACAAAGCAAATTGCATTAAGAAAATGGAAAAACAAAAACACCCACCGGTTAAAATGATATGCAGTAGATGAGAAGTTATCTGTTGCACTACAATTGTGAATTTATACGGACTTAATTTTTTTTTTTTTTACGAAAGTAAAACAAATTGAAATTGAAATTTGCTGTGTTTCTATTTGGTTTAAAGTAAATTAACAAGCACCACAAAGCATGTTGCCATCCTACGACATCGTCCATATTATGTAGTCATGCAATCTAGCACAAACCACAGATCACTAATAGAGGAAAGTTTTGACGTTTGTGTTGTGATCAGGGAAGTTGTTTTTACGTTAACATGTCAGCTAGTAATGGCGCTGGTGCTTCCAGCCATGTCTATGTGTGTAACAGGAACATCCAGGAAGGCGCTGACAGCTGAAACAGCTGATCAGTCATCTGAGTAAAAGTTCAATACGTCAGAGCTGATATGGAAGTTTCCATCTCCTGTTTTGTTCATTAAACCTTTTTTGCAAAATTCATCAAAAAACACTTCAAATGAGTGTAAAAGCTTAAGGATTTTTTGGGAATGTTGCCATATACATTAAGTTTTTTCCAATGCAACACTTCAAAATGTGAAATTAGCAAAAGCTGATTAAAAATAACCCTGTAGACTCCTCTGGCATGAATGTGCAACAAACATAACATTATAAAATCTTTTTATTCCTACTCTAATTAACAGGGAACTGCAGTTCCTGACCTGAGAAAGTCACCTTTGCGGCTGCAGCACACTCC